CTTCTTTCTTGTGAGAGGTACCTTCTATAATCTATGGTACCTTCTTTCTTGTGAGAGGTACCTTCTATAATCTATGGTACCTTCTTTCTTGTGAGAGGTACCTTCTATAATCTATGGTACCTTCTTTCTTGTGAGAGGTACCTTCTATAATCTATGGTACCCTCTTTCTTGTGAGAGGTACCTTCTATAATCTATGGTACCTTCCTTCTTGTGAGAGGTACCTTCTATAATCTATGGTACCCTCTTTCTTGTGAGAGGTACCTTCTATAATCTATGGTACCTTCCTTCTTGTGAGAGGTACCTTCTATAATCTATGGTACCTTCCTTCTTGTGAGAGGTACCTTCTATAATCTATGGTACCCTCTTTCTTGTGAGAGGTACCTTCTATAATCTATGGTACCTTCTTTCTTGTGAGAGGTACCTTCTATAATCTATGGTACCTTCTTTCTTGTGAGAGGTACCTTCTATAATCTAGGCACCTCTTTTCTTGTGAGAGGTACTTTCTATAATCTATGGTACCCTCTTTCTGTGAGAGGTACCTTCTATAATCTATGGCACCCTTCTTGTGAGAGGCACTTCTATAATCTATGGTAATTCTTTCTGTGAGAGGTACCTCTATAATCTATGTACCTCTTTCTGTGAGAGAGGCACTTCTATAATCTATGGGTACCTCTTTTCTGTGAGAAAATTCTCTATAATCTATGGCACTCCCTTTTCTTGTGAGAGGTACCTTCTATAATCTATGGCACCCTCTTTTCTTGTGAGAGGTACCTTCATAATCTATGGTACTTTCTTTCTTGTGAGAGAGGTACCTTCTATAATCTATGGCACTTTCTGTGAGAGGTACCTTCTATAAATCTTATGGTACTTTTCTTGTGAGAGGTACCTTCTATAATCTATGGTACCTTCTTTCTTGTGAGAGGTACCTTCTATAATCTATGGTACCCTCTTTCTTGTGAGAGGTACCTTCTATAATCTATGGTACCTTCTTTCTTGTGAGAGGTACCTTCTATAATCTATGGTACCCTCTTTCTTGTGAGAGGTACCTTCTATAATCTATGGTACCTTCCTTCTTGTGAGAGGTACCTTCTATAATCTATGGTACCCTCTTTCTTGTGAGAGGTACCTTCTATAATCTATGGTACCTTCTTTCTTGTGAGAGGTAGATACTTTAAGTGAGGCAAATTTCCCCCAAGATGACGTAAGCCCTACCTCCCCCACCCCCCACCTCCTCCCTCCCTCACCACCTCAAGTCTCGAAATTGTATAAAGTATCGTCTCTCCACCCTCACCCTCCTTCATTGGACCACTGTCGACTTCTCTGGACCACTGTCGACTTCTCTGGACCACTGTCGACTTCACTGGACCACTGTCGACTTCTCTGGACCACTGTCGACTTCTCTGGACCACTGTTGACGTCTAGCAGCCTTCACCAGTTACTACGGAGGCGACGAAGACGGGATGGACCAAATAGACTCTGAAGAACTAGACCAACTGGAGCAAGAGTACGAGACATTGAGGTCCACCAAGAGTCGGTCCTTGATGAAGAAGTTCCTCACCCAAGACGTGTTCAACAGACTTAAGCACCGCGTCACAACAGGGGGCGCCACCTTACACGATGTCATCAAATCTGGTCTGGTGAATCCGGACTCTAGTATCGGACTCTATGCTCCTGATGCTGAGTCCTATACGCTGTTTAGTGAGTTGTTTGATCCGGTGATTGATGAGTACCACGGTGGGTTCGGTCCTGGAGAATTTCACCCGGGGATTAACTTCGGTACAGCGAGCGCCTTGGGCAACCTCAATGAACTGGGGGACTACGTGGTGTCGACGAGGGTGAGGTGCGCCCGTTCGCTGGAGGGTTACCCGTTCAACCCTCTCCTCACCCAGGACCAGTACTTGGAGTTGGAGCAGGACGTAGAGAGGGCGTTGGACTTCCTGGACGGTGACCTGGCAGGTTATTACAGGCCCATCAGCAAGCTGTCTGTACCCATACAAGAGGAACTACTGGAGGCTCATTTACTCTTCAAACAAGGCGATCGTTTCCTGGAGGCTGCCGGGGCGTGTAGGTTCTGGCCAGACGGTCGGGGAATCTTCCTCAACTCGGACAGCACGCTGGTGGTGTGGGTGAGCGAGGAGGACCACTTGAGGATCATCTCCATGCAGGACGGGGGAGATCTGACCCAGGTGTATGATCGCTTCACGCGGGCCGTCACTGCTCTCGGCTCCCGGCTACCCTTCACCGTATCTCAGCGCCTTGGCTACCTTAACTTCTGCCCCACTAATTTAGGAACAGCGATTCGAGCCTCCGTCCACATCCGGCTGCCTAACTTGGGTGATGATCGCCGCCTGCTGGAGGACACAGCCGACCAGTTCCACCTTCAGGTCCGCGGCACCTCTGGGGAGCACTCCGAGGCCAAGGACTTCATCTTCGACATCTCTAACAGACGTCGCCTCGGCCTGACGGAGATCGAGGCTCTACAGGAGATGTACGATGGAGTGCAGGAGATCATCCGGCTGGAGCGGCAGATGGAGGAGAGCAACACCCGTAAGGGATCCGGCCGCAGTTACCATTAATGTCCTCGCCGGCTGAAGACATCCGGCTCTTAACGTCTCTCTGGCCAGATATCAAGTCCAACCCGGCTGTAAACGACCCTCTGGGAGTGACCATCTCCACAACAAGTACAAAATGAAGACTGACGATGATGATGATGATGATGATGATGATGATGGATAAAAATAAAAAAAAAATAAAAAATATATATATATTTAAATTTGTTATGAAAAGTTACAATGGCTTCACAAATGAAACAATATATACATTGTTACCTGGAAAATTGGTACCAGAACAACAAATGGAACAATGACTGCACCGCACCACCTGCAACAACCACCAGAAGTAATTACAACATGGTCTGCAACATTGTAACACCTGTAATCAAAGACTGTACCTGTGATTGTCTTATTGATGCACTTGTTGGCGACTACAGGTATATGTAGAGCCTTGGATTATGTAGTAAAGGTGATGAGATCTTCTGTAGCACTTATCGTTAACACCTTGATGGCTATAGAGCTCAAGTTCCTGTGTAGTAATAGTATGACTTATTGACTACTAACCTAACCTAACCCAATCTTGTCTCTCAGTGGTAGTATTAAACTTGATTGATGTACCCTGGCGATATTTATGGGGCAGTGTGTCTGTGTGTCTGTCTGTGTGTGTAGTGATAATAATACACACATATATTTCTTTAGTATTTATTAATTATTTACATAAGTTGAAGAATAATTATTAAGTTTTAGTATTGGAATTATTTATTGTGTGTGTGTGTGTGTGTGTGTGTGTGTGTGTGTTTGTTTGTTTGTTTGTTTTTCTGCTGTTTATCCTCTAAGAGTTTACTAAAGATAAAATTATACTGAATAGTTAAAATGTTATAGAGATTATGTAAGCCTTTGTTAATATTATCAATTATAGACAAACACACACACACACACGTATGTATGTATGTATGTATGTATGTATGTATGTATGTATAGTATAGTATTTTCTTATAACATGTATACAAACCCCATATAGAGTAGATATAGACAGTGTAAAGTGATATGTAGTCGATATAGTTCATTAGTAGTATATGTTGTGTGTGTGTGTAGTGTGTGTGTGTGTGTGTGTGTGTGTGTGTGTGTGTGTGTGTGATTATTATTATTATTGAATTATTATTATTATTGGTAGTGTGGTGTGTGTTGTGTGTGTGTGTGTGTGTGGTGTGTGTGTGTGTGTGTGTGTGTGTGTGTGTGTGTGTGTGACATCATATATATTTTAACTAATACTATAAAAATCACCAAATTAAAATTGGTTATTAAATTGTGATTTTTATTTCACTTAAGCCTGATCATGCCACTCCTAAAACACCCAATTTTGAAGAACTTGAAAAAAATAACATGAATTTTTTAAACTTGAACATGTTGCTATGAAATCTTGAACATATCTGAACATAATATTAGAACATTTATGAACACTTTGAAACAAGAATATAACATGTTTTTAGTTGTTTTATTATAGGGTGTTACTTTAGACATACACACACACACACACATACATATCAAAACATCTATATAATTGTTTTAAAGACTAATTATGTGAATATAGAAAATAAACAATAATAATAATAATAATCCACACTCGAATGCCAAGTGTGTAAACAAAGCAGGTTAAATACGCTCACTGAGGGGCCCCGGTCCAGAAGACACTAATATAAGCCTCAACAAGTAAGTAAATTAACTCAGTGTCATGGTGTGAAGCTTAAGGCTCCTGCGTGGCATGATCAGGTCCTTATTTATTTTGCTCCTTTTCCAGTTTTTTTTAGTTATTTTCTTTAATTTGTCATTTACGTTAAAAGGGACAAATTGACGGTTCCCTTAAGGCGAGTAAATAGCATGTGAATAATTAATGAGTTATAGTGTTCATTATTTATTGCTAATTATTATTATTTAAATTGATTGTAGAATAGAACTTTTTTTGGCGTGTTTGAACAGTTGTACTTGACTTTGTAAATATAGAATGAAAACGCGGTATGTATGTATATATGTATGTATGTATGTATATGTATGTATGTATGTACTGTATGTAGCTTACGAATGTATTTAATAGTTACTAAAAAAAGTTCGGTTCCATTTTCTTGGCCTGGGAAACCATTTTATTGAAATTTATTGATTTAATATATATTTCCTTATAAAAACTACTACTTCAAGTATGATGTAATATATTTTATCACCTACGCCTCCTCTTAAGTTATATAATAAATATTTTTTTGTATTAGATATGTAAATGAAGCTTAAAGTCATAACTCAACAAGGGAATCGGATGAAGGATTTTTGTTTATATGAGGTACTTCTAGCGGTCACTTGGCACGATATGCTTATTTTTGTAAGTTTTTCCTTGCATTCCAGCTTGACACAATATCACCAATGTATGTAGTTTTTATTGATGAAACTATTTTTTTATTAGTTATTAAATTAGTTGATCAGAATAATTGCAATGTTGAAATGACCTGAACTGACCTGACCTCCCTTCACAGCAGATGACCACAACAAGCCTGATGACCCCGGCCGTGACCCCAGTGAACCTGATGATCATGGCCGTGAACCTAGCGAACCTGATGACCCCGGCCGTGACCCCAGCGAGCCTGATGACCCTAGGGAAGGTCAAAACCCCAGCGAGGTCAGCGTAGGTCTCCTCACTCGTCAAAACAGTCGGGCGTCTGTCAAGTCTGATTTCCCGGGCATGTGGACTGATGATGGGCAGTACCTTACACACGGTGAGAGATTATTGGTGGTATTAGTGACAGAGATTTTGACTTATATTAGAGAGAAAGGAAAAAAGTAACCCCACACCTAACCTAACCCGACATGACCCAACCATTACGTGACCTTTGACCTCTCTTACAGCCCTGGGTGACGCATTAATCAGAGGACTATCAGAGGTTAATGATGCTCGCCCCCCTGACCCTATCTCTTACCTGGCCTGTTGTTTATATACCTACAGATACACCAATCACGATCAGGTCAGTTGGCACACCTCCAATTAACGAACTCTACGGTATATTGTCCGTTATATGGAGGGTTTTTTAACGGTCCCTCGATATAACGAACTACTATCACTTTCCTGGTATATATTTTTTGTGTAAATAAATTTGTTTATGAAAGAGTGTAATTAAATTGATATTATTATTATTATTTAGTTAATTAATTTCCTCTTTACCGTGACCTGTTCTGGGGTCAACCTCACCTGTGCCGGGGTCAACACCACGTGACCCAGCAGAATGGGGGATCAGGTGTGGGCAGCTCGGGGTCAGATAGGTCAGGTGAATTAAGTATTGCTCTGCAGACAGCTGTTGACAGTACTGGTGGTGCTGACTCTGTTCCGACCCCACAGACCAGGGTGAGTGTCTGTCTCTGTCTGTCTGTTTATGTATATATTTATTGATATTTATAAGTACAACAATCTGTACTGTACACACACACACACACACACACACACACACACACTATAAATAACATCATCTCTTTGGCTCACAGGATAAAAAAGGCCAAAGTGTCCTCCACTTCGCCGCTTCGAAACCCCACGGCAGGTCCGCTTTCTACAGACTTATAGCGGAATCCGGATGTTCATTAGCGGACAGGGACGAAGATTACCGGACACCAAGAGACGTGGCGACAGAACACGACCTACAGGAGAACGTAACAGCTCTTGATAAATGGGTGATGAACTTGGCTGCCGAGGGTGAGTTGTGCGTCTGTCTGTCTGTCCTTTTCTGTCTGTCTGTCTGTCTCTTTCTGTCTGTCTGTCGCTGGTCTGTCTATTTCTGTCTCTCTCTCTCTGGTTCTGCCTCTCCCTGTCTCTCTGTCTCTCTGTCTCTGTCATCCTTTTCTGTCTGTCTGTCTGTCTGTCTGTCGGTCGCTGTGTCTGTCTATTTCTGTCTCTCTCTCTCTCTGGTTCTGCCTCTCCCTGTCTCTCTGTCTCTCTGGATCTGACAGGTGTCCTTCACTTACAGGTAGACGGGATGAACTAGAACAGCTGTTAATTGATGGTTACGACCACCTATTAGACGTAGAGGATGAACAAGGTAATAACATCCTCCAGGTGGCTGAAGAACACGGACAGAACAAGACAGTACAGTTTTTAAAAGGATCATTGAACTTTGAGGTTTGTTAGTGTTCTGTTGTTATTGTTATTGTTCTTTCTCTCTCTCTCTCTCTCTCTCTCTCTCTCTCTCTCTGTCAACCCCCCCTCCTTCCTTATCCACCCCTACCCTCACCTTCACAACCACACCTCCTCACCCCCCCCCACCCCCTCTCACACCCCTCTCACATCCCTCTCACACCCCCTCTCTCTCCACAGGAAAAACGAGACTGGCTCCACAAAGCCATACGAGTTGGCTCCCTCCCCCACGTACAGTACATCGTCGACTCCCCGGCCATGGCTAGTGCTAAGGACCCCAGAAGCAGGACCTCTCTACACATAGCGACCCTGTGTGAGGAGAAGGACATTATGGAATACTTAGCCAAGAGTTACCCACAGCTGTTGAAGATTGGTGATAATGTGAGTCGATTGGATGAAGGGGTTGTTAGTGGTGGTGATTGGAGGTCTGTGGGGTGATTGGTGATGGTGATTGGGGATTTGTGAGTAGAATTGAATGATATTTATCTTGTGATTAGATATTATTGTATATTGGACTAACCATATCTCTCTCTCTCTCTCTCTCTCTCTCTCTCTCTCACACACAGCTGGGCCGGACACCTCTCCACTATGCCATGGCCGTAGAAGGGGTGGACCAAGTGGCCAAGATACTGGTCCAGGCTGGGGCCAAACGGGTCATCAAGGACTTGGTTAGTGGCCACACATACATACATACATACATACATACATACATACACTTAACATCACTTCACAACATCTTGGGACACTTTACGACACTTATAAATTAACTTAAGTAATACGTAGTCCAATAAGTTGTTAAGTAGACTTCAAGTAATAATTATAAGTATCGGTTTTGAGTTAGAAAATAGTGAAAAGTAAATCACATTACTTAATACACTCACATGACCTTGGAATTAATAGGATTTAAGTGTTTATAAGTAGTTAAATGTTCTTCTGATGTAGTAATTAGTTATAAGTAATTTTAAGTAAAAAATTGTAATACGATAACTAATTTCTAAAGATTTTTTATAAATATTCCAATAATTTTAATTTATTTTTAATCGAGAATTAGATCTAGTTAACTATAATTAAATACGATGTTATTTTGTTAACTGATGCAAAAAAAAAATTAACAAAACTAACTAGAAATTATTAAGTTTCGTGAGATTTTATTACTAATTTTTTGCCTCATGTTAAAAATTACTAAATAAAATTATTAAATGTCGATATTAAGTCAATGTTCTTGTTTGTATTTGTTTCTTTGTTTGTTTGTCACTGTAGCCATGATCGCTATATACCCCACACATAGCACTTTCTTCTTGCATGATTTACCTACATGTAAGTTAAACCACAATTATATATATTCTACTATAATTATATGTTAATGTGTTTGTGGTAATTAATTAATTATTATACACGGAAAAAATCTTCACCTGACACGTGTATGTATGTGTGTATGTGTGTATGTTTGTATGTATGTATGTATGCATGTATGTATGTATGTATGTAAGTATGTATGTGTGTATGTTTGTATGTATGTATGTGTGTATGTATTTAGCGCACATTAGTACATTCTTCTGTGTACTGTTAATCACTTGTGTTTTCTATTTAATTATTGTTGTTTTATGTACCAATCTTATTATTGTTTTGGTGTTTTGATCTTTTGTGATGAAATATTTGTCCTCTCTCTCTCTCTCTCTCGCTCCCTCTCTCTCTCTCTCTCTCTCTCTCTCTCCTCTCTCTCTCCTCTCTCTCTCACACACCCTCTCCCTCTCTCCACCTCCTCACACACACACACACACCTCTCCCTCCTCCACCTCTCACACACACCTCTCCCTCACTGCTCATCACACACCTCTCCTCCCCCCTCTCTCCCCTCTCTCCACCTCTCTCCCTCACTGCCTCACACACACACCTCTCCCTCACTCCACCTCTCACACACACCAACAGCGAGGAAGCACCCCGTCAGCCAGCTTCATCCACCCTGAAGGTGTACGAACATTACAAAAGCAAGAACAAGCATTACTAATTGACCGTCATCTGTCGCCCATCCCAGTATAGAAGGAGGAAGACCCGGATAATCACCTGTACTTAATTACCTGATGTTAAAATTAATTATATCCTGGTTAGTTGGGATTATATATGTTTTTAAGCCTTATAGAATTAATTAGGCTTTTTTGTTGCTTTGATAATTAGGCTTTAGTTTTTTTTTTTTTGCTTTGGTGATTAAGTTTGTTGAGTTAATTAGATGGTAGTTATGTTTTTTTATTAATTAGCCCTTTATTGTAGTTTAATTAGGCTTATGGTAATTAATTGAGCTTTTTTCATATATTAATTAGGCTTTTTTGCTATGGTAATCAGGCTTTGTTGCTGTCTGTGTTATGTAAGGCTTATAGAATTAATTATTTTTATGGTAACCCAACTGACATTAATTCGGTCGTGTTAATTGTATATTTTAGAGCTACTTAATTCATAAGAGTCTATTTTGGAGCTATTTAATAGATATGGGTCTATTTTTTACCTATTTAATATATTAAGTTAATTTTAACCTATTAATTTCATTTTTATTATAATGCGTAAAATAAACTAATCAATTTAACCTTGTAAAATTAATTCCAATAATTTATATAATTTGGTATACTTTTTATTGTTTGGTATTAACTAATGTAACGTTAAGTTAATTTACTGTTATATATATAATTTTCTGTTCAGTTAGATATATTTAATCTTTAAGTAATATATTAATTATAGTTTTTAATCATCATTTAGTTAGTTAGATTATTTTACACTCAACTTCTACATTATATTTCGACTCCTAAAATTTACATTATATTTCAACTTCTAAAATCTTTGTTATATTTCAACGCTGTATATAAACGCATGGAGTTCTTTTTGTTCACTTAATTATATATATATTTGTTATATTTCTGTGTCTGGAACTTTGTGGAACTTTGAACATACACTAAAAAGTTTACCCGCATGAAATCACAGTCTTCGAAACTTTATCTCTGTTTTAAATCAAGTTCTAAGTATATTTGGTATTGTTTGTGTATTAATTCTTGTGCTTTGAGCTTTGGAACTTTATACATACACTTATATACAGTTGAATAATTATATGCATGAGTTAGTTGCTTCTGAACATCGTATTATTGTGAGTTATGGCCAAATAGTGTTTTATAGTTGAGTTACCCATTAATTTAAATTACTTTTTTTATTTAACCTATTCTTTCCGCTTGTTTGTGTTTTATTTCCATAATTTGTGGTTATATTATGTTTAGATACTTTAATTTATTTTAAAAAACTTGAAATTCTATCAGGATTGTGATAATTTAGGGGAATCTTATACATTTTTGGATTATCTTGGTACGTTTTCTGTGATATAAGTTTGTTTGTTTTCCTTGAATCACCTGATGGCGTAAACATTATGATTCTGGTGTTTGTTTACATTGAACCATCTGATAGATTATGTAAATAACATTGATTATGTGTTAAAAGAATATCCTTCCTTCCTTAGGCTTTAGTAAGCCCCTTTATAATATTTATACTGTATATACTTGTGACACTTGCCAGATGCTTCTGGTGTCATTGTACAGGGGTACCCAGTGACAGCACTAGGATCCCGCTTCCTCTATCAAGGAATAAACAATTGAAATTGAAAAATTGAAATCATCTGATGGTGTAAATATTTTAATTTTGACGTAAATTAACATTAAAGAATCGATTTGAAAGTTTTAAAAAGAGTTAAATATTATTTTTCGGATTTCACGAATATTAGGCACACCAGCATGTTACTTGGTGATTAAACCCCCCAACACAACCCAGCCCAGCCCTCCCAACCCTGCCTCCCCCACTCCCAGCCCTCCCTGCCCACCCAACCCCTACCCTGCCCCTGCAACCCTACCCCCTGCCCACCCAACCCTACCCAACCCCAACCCCTGCCCACCCTACCCTACCCTACCCCACACCCTACCCAACCCAACCCAACCCTACCCTACCCTACCCAGCCCTACCCAACCCAGCCCACCCTACCCCTACTCCCACAACCCCACCCTACCCTGCCCAACCCACCTACCCACCCAGCCCCCCTACCCCACCCACTCCTACCCTACCCCACCCCCTCAACCCCTACCCTACCCACCCTGCCCCCACCCCTCCCCTACCCTACCCAACACAACCCAGCCCACAACCCTGCCCAACCCACTCCCTACCCTGCCCAGCCCTGCCCTGCTACCCTGCCCTGCCCTACCCTACTGCTGCCTGACCCCTACCCTACCCTACCCTACCCTACCCAACCAACCCTACCCAACCCAACCCAACCCTACCCCCTCCCTACCCAACACAAACCCCCACCCTACCCAGCCCAGCCCAGCCTACCCAGCCAACACAACCCTACCCCCAACCCCCCTGCCCAGCCTACTCCCCTTAGCCCAACCCAACCCAAAGTAAGCTAATCTAACCTTTTTTGTTCCGTCCCACAGAGAGGAAAGTTACCGAGCAGTTATTTCATGAACCGTACCGAGATTGTTGCCATGATCAAGGAGGTGACGACTGACCCGGATTAATGGAGGACGACCTTGAGTACTACCTCTAGCACAGCCTCAAGTATGACCTCCCAGACCTTAACTACGACCTCCAACACAGTCTCAAGTATGACTTTCAACATAGCCTCAAGTATGACCTCCCAGACCTTAACTACAACCTCCAAACACAGCCTCAAGTATAACCTCCAACATAGCCTCAAGTACGACCTCCAAGACTTATATTGTCCTCCAAAACCTCGGTATAACAATCCCTCCAAACAGTGTCATTATATATATGGTGTATAAGCACATTGTTTACCTGTACATATATAACGACAGATATATAATTTTGAGTATTTTTAAAAGAGTTATAGTTACTGTGTGAATTATAGACCAGTGTTCGTGTGGTTAATATTTTGTGTAAGTGAAGACGCAAGTAGTTAAGTGAGTCTTTAATTATCACAAGAAGATTATCAGCCTTAATTAACTATCATCATTAACACCTGTAATAGTGGTCGTTATCTAAACTATCTTATTTAACAACAATCATTTAATTCTTGTTAAGTGAAGGTATCTAGTTAAGGTAGAGTCTCAGTGTTAATTTTGTCTCCTAAGTGGTGTTAAGTGAAGGCATCTAGTTAAGGTAGAGTCTCAGTGTTAATTTTGTCTCTTAAGTGATGTTAAGTGAAGAATCTCGGTGTTAATTTTGTCTCCTAAGTCTCAGTGTTAATTTTGTCTCTAAGTGGTGTTAAGGAAGGCATCTAGTTAAGGTAGAGTCTCAGTGTTAATTTTGTCTCCTAAGTGGTGTTAAGTGAAGGCATCTAGTTAAGGTAGAGTCTCAGTGTTAATTTTGTCTCCTAACTGTGGTGTTAAGTGAAGGCATCTAGTTAAGGTAGAGTCTCAATTTTGTGTTAAGTTTGGTGAAGAATCTCAGTGTTAATTTGGTCTCCTAAGTGGTGTTAAGTGAAGAATCTCAGTGTTAATTTTGTCTCCTAACTGGTGTTAAGTGAAGAATCTCAGTGTTAATTTTGTCTCCTAAGTGGTGTTAAGGTAGAGTCTCAGTGTTAATTTTCACTTACAAGAAATATCAACATTATACTGTACCATTGTGAACTATGTATACTGTATCACGACTGTATTTCCTGTAATTCCTCTGAGATAACATGACAACTGTACGTATGCTGAAATATTCGTGTCTAAAATCTGTGATATAAACCAAAGTAATTGTAGAGGAGTTAAATGATTTTGTAGTGAAATCTTTTTGTAGATATTTGAAGGGGCCCATTAATATGTTCCTAAAGTACCACGACGAATACAGCTTTTTATTTTTTTTGTATCTGTAACCAATATAACCCAAGTTTATTCCTTAATTATTATATATTAAAAATAAATTAACGCCGAACCTAACCACAACTACCCGAGGATCGTTAGGTCACGTTGGGTCATATTATCTAAAAAAAAAAAAAAGGATTTAATCTACCGTGTTCGTGGTACTTCTATAACATTAGGAAGGGAGATTTAAAGACCTAAACCATACTTATTGCTCAATGTTCGTGAGTTATATACATTATTTATATAGTATAGGTTTATATGATTCAATTTTTTTTTATATAAATAGAAACAAAGGAATCTAGTGAGTAGAAAGTTGGGGTATTGGTGTGTAGCATCCCCTTCTCTTACCCCTTCCCCACGCCTCTACCACTCCTCTTCCACCCCTATTCCTCCTCCAAATCCCCCTTCCCAACTCCCCTTATCCCCTCCTAACGCCTCTACCACTCCTTCCTCTCTCCCCTTACCCCTTCCCTACTCCCTCTTCCCCTCCTTTCTTCCTTCCCTACTCCCTCTTCCCCCTCCCTTTCTTCCTTCCCTACTCCCTCTTCCCCTCCCTTTCTTCCTTCCCTACTCCCTCTTCCCTCTCCCTTTCTTCCTTCCCTTCCCCCCCCTTCCCTCCGTGTGTGTACAGTAAGTGGAAGGACTATTTCTCCCTGTCACATGTGTCTGTCTGTCTATCTGTCTGTCTGGCTGTAATGTCGTCTGTAGTCTTGACAAAGTTGATTAGAAATATTACACCAAAAATATCCAATCCAGTTCAGTAGTCTTAGAATTTATATATATTTCCGGAGAATTTATTTATATTTTAAAGGTGTTTGGTGAAGATAAGTGTTTATAGTGATTCATTATAGTAATTTTCTCCCCTAAATGGTGTTAAAAGAACATATTTAGTTCAGGTAAAGTCACAGGGGTAGTTTTGATGCCATACTTGATACGTTCTCACATCACCAGTTAGGAGGAAAACTTAACGTAGGAACCTTTGAGAATCCATCTTTGTGTGGTAGCTTAAGTGAGTCAGTTAGATACGTTCTCACATCACCAGTTAGGAGGAAAACTTAACGTAGGAACCTTTGAGAATCCATCTTTGTGTGGTAGCTTAAGTGAGTCAGTTAGATACGTTCTCACATCACCAGTTAGGAGGAAAACTTAACGTAGGAACCTTTGAGAATCCATCTTTGTGTGGTAGCTTAAGTGAGTCAGTTAGATACGTTCTCACATCACCAGTTAGGAGGAAAACTTAACGTAGGAACCTTTGAGAATCCATCTTTGTGTGGTAGCTCAGTTAGATACGTTCTCACATCACCAGTTAGGAGGAAAACTTAACGTAGGAACCTTTGAGAATCCATCTTTGTGTGGTAGCTTAAGTGAGTCAGTTAGATACGTTCTCACATCACCAGTTAGGAGGAAAACTTAACGTAGGAACCTTTGAGAATCCATCTTTGTGTGGTAGCTTAAGTGAGTTAGTTAAATACGTTCTCACATCACCAGTTAGGAGGAAAACTTAACGTAGGAACCTTTGAGAATCTATCTTTGTGTGGTAGCTTAAGTGAGTCCGTTAGATACGTTCTCACATCACCAGTTAGGAGGAAAACAAGAGAGAGGATTTAATTGTATCCAGTCACTGTTACTTCCGCCTTTACTGATGGAAGACGTGAGAGTGTCATATTTAGAGATCTTTACGTAATTAATTTCTTCTTTACTCTCCTTTTAGTTAGCACTATAGTCCAATTATTTCCCTTCATTTGGCCTCAATTCTTGATTATTGCTTAAGTTTCCCCTCAAATAGATTAGTTTTCTGTTAATATTAAAGGAGGTAAACTTAAGTATTTTGATGGTGTCGAGGTTTGTGACGTCATGTTAGTGTTAGGAGACTACGGTAGTGTAAAAAGAATGTGCCAATGTAAAAGAATGTGGTAGCTAAGACGCAGTATATCATTCTATATTAAATATCATCAGATTATATGTATTTTTTGTTTAATTAACACTAGTATCTGAGGTATTTATACAATGATTACCAGAGACAGTACATGCCCAGTATTTGCCAACAATGTGTAACAGAGAACGAGTACTTGCCAACAGTACATAACAGAGACGTGACTGACCGTCCAAGCGGCTAACAGACCAATCAGTGGTGAAGAGGATAAAGTAAGGAGTAGTGTCAGGCATAAAACTGTGCTGGCATTACTTTACAAGGTTGTGTCGTGGTCCCAGTAAGTTAATAAAACAAGGATAAAACCAATACAGAACTTTAAAGCTTCTTATCTCAATTTGTATTAACAATATATGTTTGTTAACGTGTAATATGGGAGGTGCGATACATTAAGATAGTTCCCCCTTCAACATGTTACGTGCTATTTTATAAAGTCTTGGGGAATATGGCTGGAAGTTTGACCTTAACATTTGACAACTGATGCAGTGAACTGGTTATCAGGGACGAGTTTGTACGGCGCCTATAGTAACACTTTAACTGGTGTACTGGGGCGGTGCGTGCCCCCTCCCAGTACCTCCCGGGTTCGAGCCCCAGGTTGAGGATAGATTAAGAAAGATGTTCCTTAAGGCATAAACGTTTTTAACACAGCTGTATATATATTTATTTATGGCAGTATGATTAAGTTAAATAAATTCTAGATTATTGTAAATAGTCTAGCATTATATATCGGCCATTAAATCACGTCTTTAGTCTTATTAATAGAGGGTAAAGGTAAAGGGACGGCGCCCGCTCAGGAACAGACTATTAGTAAACAAACAACTGACCTGGTGGCTCAGCTGTCACCTCTGGCAGTTCTTAATTACACACAACTACAGCACCACGTCACCTGTGTGTGGGCAGGTGTGTGCTTAGTTTAATTGTTGTAACTAATGTTCTAAAGTTAATGAAGCAGCTAAAGCCAATATACGGCGACAACTGAGGCTCAGCAACAGCCCTGGGAGGCTTCAACCTGATGGCTCCCTCACCTGAGTAAACCTCCCACAACATTCACTTGCTTCACCACCTTTCATGTTCTTCTGTAGACAAATGACGATGTTTTCACCTGTAGTAATAAACGCTCTTATATACGATGACCTGACCAACCCTTTATCATTAATGGTTACCTACTTTTATTGTTCCATTTATTAACATTAAATAACATTCTTTAAAACATACATATTCATTGTTCACATTAATATTACCACAGTTACAACCAGGGTCTTATTTTCTTCAGTTTGAGATAGATAACTGACATTATGGCAACAACAGGTGGGCGTCCCATCTCCTCTTGTGTGACATTATTATTACTATATATTGTAGAAGGTCCATCCATAAACATTATTTAAAGAATATAGTTCGCATTTTTCATTTTTTTGAGGGGGGGAAGAGGGTAAAAAGCCACACAAAAGATATGAAAAGATCAAACATTGGAACACATCTTATTATTATTGCCTTATTTTGGTGGTACTGTAATTAATGATTCACTCTACACTGATTCACTTTACACTGGAGGACACATTACCACCGAGGTTTTACTCTATTGTCAATATAATTCAATCAACGTTGAGTGTATTTTGATTTTAATGTATTATAAAAGGCAAGTCTGTTCATAACATTACTAATCAAGGGAAATGTGGGGTTAAAAGAACAGAAAAACCTAACCTAACCTAACCAGGTACCTACATCCTGCCTTGAGTCACCCGTCCCATATTATATATCCATCTTGTATGTAATTGTTCTTTCTCTGTGAATTTCTTTGTTTTCATATAACAACACAGTCAAGTTGTAACACAGTACCATAAATCATTATAATTTGTTTGTAATTATATTAACAGAAGTAACTTATGATGTACTTAACACCATACAGTACAGTAGCTCATTGTATCAGGCCAGGATGTTTATAAAAATATAACACAATATTGTACTTTTATACGACTGTTCACGTTGATTTCAGAAGCATGGCCAAGTGTCTCAGGCAGTAGAGGCCTAAGGAGAGTGGCAAGAATCACTGCACTACAAAGACGGAGAAACATAATATTTCCTTCACCGCAAGATGCAGCACAGTTCAACCAAAGGTAATCCTATATTTTAATTAGTAAACTTCTTTAGGGAATAATGTGACTCTTCTGTTCAAAAACTTGCAATAAATAATTAATTTGTAAGGGGGAGCCACCTGTCCGGAAAAATGATTGTCCGAATCTTCTGGTGATGTACTAAATGTATAAAAACGATTAATAATTATTTAAAAAACAAAACAAAAATATAGCACGTAATATCCTGACCACTGGGGTTAGTTATACGTACAAACTTTTTCCTGTGAAAAAGCCATAATTTTGAGCAACATATTACTGTGCTCACATCAACCTAGAGAAGTCGACTTGTGAAAGAGACTTAGGGGTACTTGTAAGCCCGGACCTACGGCCTAGAAAACAGTGCGTTAATGTTCGAAATTAGGCAAACAGAGTACAGTATTAGATTTTATATCTAGAAGTGTAAGTAATAAGAGTGCAGAGGTCTTATTGCAACTATATCTTGCGACGCTAGTCAGGCCGCACCTCGATTATGCGGTTCAGTTCTGGTGCCCTTCTTATTGAATGGATATCAATTCACTAGAGTCGGTGCAGCGAAGAATGACGAAAATTATTCCGGGACTTAGAAACCTTCCATATCAAGATAGGTTAAAGAAACTAAACTTGCATTCCCTAGAAAGACGAAGAGTGCGGGGAGATATGATAGAAGTATTTAAGTGGGTGAAAGGAATCAATAAAGGGATATAGATAAAGTTCTTATAATATCCGAGCAGGATAGGACTCGTAGCAACGGATTTAAGTTGGATAAGTTTAGGTTTAGGAGGGAGATAGGAAGGAACTGGTTCACAAATAGGGTGGTGGACGAGTGGAACAAGCTTACCAACTTTGTAGTAAGTGCTGGAACGCTGGAAAGTTTTACAAGGAGGCTAGATAGATTCATGGATGATAGAGAGTGGTAGTAACTCTCGACAGGAGCTGCCATGCACAGACCAACCGGCCTATTGCAGACTCCATATGTTCTTCTGTTCTCAAATGTTTTAAGCTAAGGGAATAAAAGTTTTATCTCTTGTGCAACATATGAGATATTTATGCTCAAATTAATTGCTATGTTGAAAGGATTCCAGTAATGCAAGTTGTATTCTGCCAAGTCTACTCTTTTTTTATTTTTAATGGGGAATAGCTCACCCGGACACAGGTCATCGACCCACAACAGGGCTTAGGAAGCAAAAAAATGCGAGTGAAAAGAAATTAAAAATAGAAAAGAAAAATATTATATTAATCTACATCACAAAAATGCCGGCAAACCAGATTGTATGAGTATGGAAACACAGAAGAAGGCAGAGCATTCCACAGTTTAGCTGAGTGAGGAAAGAAGGAGGTACTATAACGGGTTATTATAGTGTGACAGACATCCACAGAGAAACGGTAGGCACCGCGGGCAAGACGTGTGTTACGAGCCCACGGCCTTGCCGGCGGCACACAGGATGCCAAATTCACCGAACATTGCCCATTAAAGTACCTATAAAAGAGAGAGAGTGAAGCAACATTGTAGCAAAGAGAAAGGGAAGAAAGATTATCAACTAAAGGAGGAGAGTTAATATGACGAAATGCCTTTGATTCCACCCTATCTAATAGTTGGACAGTAGAAGAGCCACCCCAGATATGAGAGCAGTACTCCAAGTTAGGACGAATGAATCCCTTATATACTTGAAGCAACTGCTCAGGAGTGAAGTAGTTACGGCATCTGTACAGCATTGCCGCTTTTGGGAGGCAGCTTTAGCAATGTATGGCTTCCATGACAGAGGAAATGGTAAGGCCTTACATATCTGTTTTAGAATTTGGCAGAACGATTGTGTCCGGAAATGTGATTGGTGGGAGATCATCTAATTTGGAAGGTGTAATTGGCAAATATTGTGTTTTATTACTATTAAATTTAACCAAGTTTCTACCTACCCATTCAGAGATGCTGCTCAGATCCACATTGATATATGTAATGATATCAGCTCTAGAAACAGATTTTGGGGAGGGGGGGAATTAGAGGGAAGTGAAAAAAGTGAAGAGTAGAATCATCAGTGTAGGAATGGATAGAATTAGTTGTAGTGTGAAGTAAATAATTGATAAAAAGAAGGAAGAGAGGAGGTAAAAAACAGAACCCTGTGGGACACCACTATTGGTAGAGAAAGAGCGAGAGATCGATCCCTCGTCAACAACTGCCATGGATCGGTTTTTCAAGGAAGCTAGAAATTAGAGAACAAGGTGGGGGAGAGAAACCATAAGAGGGAAGTTTAGAAAGCAAAGACTTGTGTCATACCCTGTCAAATGCTTTGGAGATGTCGAGGGCCACGACGAAAGATTCCCCATAATCCCTAAGAGAGGATGACCAAAGATGGGTGTAGTAGAAGAGCAGAACTTCAGTAGATCTTGCCTGGCAAAAGCCATACTGGTGATCTGAAAATGATAGTTAAGACAGTTTCAAAAATCTTAGAGAGGGATGAAGTTAGGGTAATGGGGTGATAGTTAGAGGGATTGGAATGGTCACCCTTCTTCTGGATGGGCTGAACCAAGTCATGCTTCTAAGAAGAAACTCACATCCAACCTGGATAACACACCAGCAACCCTGTGAGTGGAGATTATAGGAAAGTGTATAGGTTCAGTAGGAGGAGCAGGAGTAGCAGGGATAGTGTTAGAATTGTCTAAGGTGGAGTTAGAGGAGAATAAGGTGCCAAAGAGATTGGCTTTATCAGGGGTAGAGTTGCCTATAGAGTTATCAGGTCAGAAGAGAAGAGGGAGTACAGAAGTTATTACAGATGTTTTTGGATAAGGACCAGAAGGATTTACTAGAGGAAGAATTAGCCAGGTCAGCGGTCTTTCTTTTTATAAAATTCCGCTTGGCCCTACGAAGAACAGCCTTACAACGATTCCTAGAAGTAATGAAAGAGGTGTGGGTAATAGGAGGAGATCGTTTCATAGCTCGATATGCCCTATCTCTCACCCTGCAAGCAAGAAAGCAGGAGTGATCAAACCATGATTGTAATGTGAAAGTTTTGGTAGAAGATGGGATAAATGCACTCATACCGCCCTGTATAGCCCCAGCAATGCTGTCAACACATACCGAGACATCCCGAGTGGAAAAGTAACATTCATCCCAAGGAAAGTCAGAAAAGAATTCTCGCAAGGATTGCCAGTTTGCTCTCCGATAGTGCCATAGTTGAAGTTTAGAGAGGGCTGTGGGAGGTGGTCGTGCCAAGCTTAACTTAATAGAAATAAGTTTGTGATCAGAAGACCCTAAGGGGGCAGAAATTGAGTATGTATGAATAGTGTGAGGGGTTAGAGGTAAAACAAAGATCAAGAATGTTAGTAAGTTGATAGTGTCGATCTGGACACGTGTAGTGTGTTTAATTATTTGTTCCAGATCATTAAGTAGGAAAAAAGAGAGTGCATCAGCTCCACCTGGGTCATCCTTTGTATAGCCAAGCCACTCTCTGTGATGTACATTGAAATCCCCTAGGTAGAGGATCTCGGTGTTGGGGTGTGTGGATAGCAACGACTCATGGCAAGAAGTGAGATGGTCAAAGAGTTCCAAATAGTTGGTAGAGTTGGGAGAACAGTTTAGGAAACAAAGAAAAATAGTCATAGTTGGTAGAGATATTTTGACACAGATGACATCGTAAAGAGAAAATTCCAGATCTGTGAGTCGAGCTACAGGTGTATGTGTGTTGCATACACCTCTCTTAGAGGCTGGGAGGAGGTGAGGTGTTGACAGCTGAGCGGGGAGATTACCAAGTGCGTATTTATCAGTCAAATTCATTTTACAGTGGGATATGCTATAACGAACTGATTCTACTACGAATATTCCTATAACGACCGGTTTTACCTATAAAATTGAGAATGCTATAACGAACGAAACTCCTACAACGAACGCGGACGAATACGGGACTATTTCGTCCTGTGCATGAATATTGTTGTACCGCGGCTCATAGCAAGAGCATCAGGCGCCATATTGGTTCATTGTGTAGTCAGTGCACCACTGAACCACTGAACTTGTTGAAATTTCGTCTTTTGATGTGGAAATTCGTGTTATTTTTGTAACTATTTTGTTATACAAGTGTACAATTGTAACAATGAATCGTCAAAAGCGAGTGAGAAAGCTAATAACCCTTGAAACTAAGAAAGAAATTATAAATAAACAGACAAAGTGCCTGTAAGACAGTCACCAAAGAGGGCTAGGAAGGATGACTCCTCTCCTTCCACCTCTTCTCCATAATTCTCTCCTTCCCCCTCCTCCTCTGCCTCCTGTCCTGCATGCTAACAACACTAAGGTAAGATAAAGTACCGTATTTTTTACAATTTCCACAGAAATTTTTCAGTGTTAAGTGGTTGTATTTGGGGGCCTGGAACGGATTAATCCTATAACGAACGAATGCTATAATGAATGAGGTTCTAGAACCAATTAGATTCGTTATAACATACCCCACTGTAATTGTTGGCGAAAAAAACGAAACGCTTTTGATTGGCTGCGTGACGTGTATGGCAACGTGTGACGATTTAAGAAGGAAACACGCTGAGTGGGAGGTGAGGTAGGTGATAATGGCCGAAGATTAATGGAAGAAAATAGATAAATATCTGGCCTCCACTATCTCCGTTATTATACGTGTGCGACGGTAATGTAATAGAAGAAAATTCTTAAAATTAGACGTGTTTTTTGTATATGATAATAGATTTAGGTTGGAAAGTCGTGTGAACTAATATACCCACAACACTTCTCGAGTCGTCTGTATACATGTGTAATTTATATTCGTGTAAAATAATAACTTACAATTTGTCACTAATATCAGTGACTGTTAGTGATGACGAAACAGGTCGGTGACGATGTGGATTGGTTACAATATGGGGTCTAACCACTGTAATACCCAGAAGAGTTAATGTAATTGTTGAAGTGTTTACAGGCTCAGTGAGAAAACTTGTCAGTCCTTACCTGCGATGTGGGAAGTATCAAGAAATGGTTCAACAAAAATTCAGTTGTATAATTCTTATTTGTGACTAAATCTTCTCTAGACATGAACAGTAATACAGTATAAACTTGTTCATATTACAGTACAGTATTTATATTTTATGGTGTTAAATTCAGTACTGTATGCCTTTTGAGAAGCCATGTAATGTATTTATAATATTCCACATTTTGTTATATGATTCTTTCAGCTGACTACAGGAGGTGGGAGAGAGACAAGGCTCTTTGGAGAATCCCACACTGGCAAGACACAGCTATGCCACTCACTGGCTGCTTCTTCTCTGGTGAGTGTTTCCAGTATGATGAAGACTAAAGAATCTTTCCTAGTGTTATGTGGTGAACCCAAGAGATACCTCACAGCTGTGTGAAGGATGGTAGTAATCCTCTGCCAGTAAACCAGTTCTACAAATGTTTTCAGGTTTTTGTTTGTATATCTGAGGAATGCTCGTGTACTGTACTGCCAAATAGATTCTGACTGGCTTGTTCCTAACATTGAGATGTCACAACCCAGATGCTAGTTAAGTGAGGTGTTCCTGTAGAATTTAACGCTGACCTGAAATGGCGGAGGAATTGTTTGTGGAGGCTCAGGGTAATGACCGCAGGTTGGAAAAGGTGTACAAGAGGGTGACCACCAGAAGGAATTGTACGAATTGGTTGTATTTTGTCTACACTGATAACATGATATTAAACACATAAATGGAAATGATAATACATAAAACCTGACCTAACATACCCATAGGTTGGGTATGTTAGGTCAGGTTCCCCATAGGTTGGGTATGTTAGGTCAGGTTCTATGTATTATAGTTGTCTTTTATGTGTTTAATATCATGTTATCAGTGTAGAAAAAATACAACCAATTCGTACAATTCCTTCTGGTGGTCACCCTCTTGTACACCTTTACCAACCTGCGGTCATTACTCTGAGCCTCCACAAACAATTCCTCCTGGTGGTCACCCTCTTGTGCACCTTTACCCAGGTTTTTTTAAATATACAGTAATTTCAAACGATGCAATTTAAATAAAAATTTATTTCCTAATATATGAGCAACAGTTAAACAAAACGGCATAACTAGAGGATTTGCTGTACTGTAGTATATATTTTATAACATGTCTGCCTCTATACAACACTTTTAATGCTTGTATACAGTTAACATTAGTATAGCAAGATGGTTAATATCTAATCTTATTTACATAGCAGATCTGAAACTAGAAATGGAAAGAAGTTTGCTAAAAATACAGTATTATGGACAATGTCTTTGAACGCTTAGATTAGTGCCTTCTTGTCATCCAATATAGACGTCTAGCACAGTGCATGAAGCTGACCCAGACTTGTTGATCATAGTTTGGTTTTTTATCTTAGTAAAAATACTTTGTTAAAAAAATTATTACAGGAAATTTTTAAATCCTTTGTTGCAATAGTTGAATCTTGACATATGTTTCAGATTCCAGAGAGAATGGGTGGTGGTGGTGGTGCAGGAAAATGGCTGTACATTGAAACAGGAACATTTAGGTCTGAACACCTTCTGGCTGTTGCTGGCAAATATGGACCCACTGGTGATAGTGTTCTTGACAATGTATGGACGAGCTGACACTTCTGACCGACAGACACAATTGTTGAATGGTGCAGCAGCCTTAATGGCATATGAGGGGTGAGTTATTTAATACGTTGTTATCTTTATGGTGTACAGTGTTTCTAGTTTAGGCCTTAGATCCAGGCAGCTCTTGTAGTACAGACCGAGCATCAGACAACTAGGATCTACCTTCTTTTCCCCATAATGTAAGTCAGGGTTGACTTGTAACTCATTTTGGTATCCTGGTCTACCCTCCATCACATTGTAAACCTCAAATGAAACAGATTACTGGTAGTTGTAACTTTTTCTCTCTGGGAGTTGGGAGGTTTTATGTAAAGTAATCCAGTCCAGGCAGCACCAGCACACTCCACACCAAGGCTACATTTACCTCATTTAGGACACAAGACCAAGCAGTTAGGTCAGGCTACACCAGTGGTCCCCAACCTTGTGTAGGCTCTGGGCCACATTTGTCTTTGTAAATATAGTGAAGGGAACCAAAACTTTCCATCAACATCCATTAACAAATCTCATCTACTGTACTGTTTACTCCACAGTTAATTGTATTTTTAATGCAAGTCTAACTATTACCAGTTACACACTGTTACTCTAGGATCATGCACTCCAAAAACGAACTCCATCTTGTTATGACATACAGTATTTTAATGCAAGTCTGACTATTACCAGATACACACTGTTACTCTAGGATCATGCACTCCAAAAACGAACTCCATCTCGTTATGACATACAGTATTTTAATGCAAGTCTGACTATTACCAGTTACACACTGTTACTCCAGGATCATGCACTCCAAAAACGAACTCCATCTTGTTATGACATACAGTATTTTAATGCAAGTCTGACTATTACCAGTTACACACTGTTACTCCAGGATCATGCACTCCAAAAACGAACTCCATCTCGTTATTACATACAGTATTTTAATGCAAGTCTGACTATTACCAGTTACACTCTTTTACTCTTTACATTTACTCTAGGATCATGCACTCCAAAAACGAACTCCATCTCGTTATTACATACAGTATTTTAATGCAAGTCTGACTATTACCAGATACACACTGTTACTCCAGGATCATGCACTCCAAAAACGAACTCCATCTCGTTATTACATACAGTATTTTCATTATTTTCACTCTAACAGAATCCCCAATATTTCACAATTATCTAATAAACACCTCATGGTTCAGCAGGTGCCATGAACCACCATTACCTTTCCACACATTATCTAAATGAAACAGAGATAAAATCATTAAACATAAGTGTAAATTATAAACAAATGGATACGGTATATTGAACAACATAAGTCGCAACTCTCATTATATTAACAATTATGAGTAAACATGAGTGTATGAAGTTGGCTCAACACCTCACAGAGAGTGGCCTGGCTCTGGTGGGGCTGAGGCACTCTCTATTTCCTTACTTACTGATTTGGAACAGATAATCAAACACCCTACACGCATTCCTGATCGACTAGCTAACATTCTTGATCTTTGTTTTTCCTCTAACCCCTCACACTAGTCATACTCAATTTCTGCCCCCTTAGGGTCTTCTGATCACAATCTTATTTCTAACAAATCAAACATGGGCACGACCACCTCCCCCACCCCCCCCCCTCTAAACGTCAACTATGGCACTATCGGAGGGCAAGCTGGCAATTCTTGGGGTGAATGTTGCTTTTCCACTCGGGACGCCTCGGTATGTGCTGACAGCATTGCTGGGGCTATACAGGGTGGTATGAGTGCATTTATCCCATCTTCTACCAAAACTTTCACATTACAATCATGGTTTGATCGCTCCTGCTCTCTTGCTTGCAGGGTGAGAGATAGGGCATATCGAGCTATGAAACTATCTCCTTCTCCTATTACCCACACCTCTTTCACACCTCTTTCATTACTTCTAGGAATCGCTGTAAGGCTATTCTTCGTAGGGCCAAGCGGAATTTTATGAAAAGAAAGACCGCTGACCTGACTAATTCTTTCTCTCGTAAATCCTTCTGGTCCTTAACTAAAAACATCTGTAATAACTTCTGTGCTCCCTCTTCTCTTCTGACCTGATAACTCTATAGGCAACTCTACCCCTAATAAAGCCAATCTCTTGGACACCTTATTCTCCTCTAACTCCACCTTAGACAATTCCCACTCTACCCCTGCTACTCCTACTGAACCTATACACTTTCCTATAATTTCCACTTGCAGGGTTGCTGGTGTGTTATCCAGGTCGGATGTGAGTACGGCGCATGGACCGGACGGAATACCCCCTCGTGTTCTGAGGGAGTGTGCTGAAGTTCTGGCCCCTGTGCTTGCTCGCCTCTTTTGCCTCTGCCTCAAAACCCAAACTTTTCTTTCTTCTTGGAAGCTTGCCTTGGTCTCATCCCAGCCCAAAGAAGGGTGACCATTCTAATCCCTCTAACTATCGCCCCATTGCCCTAACTTCATCCCTCTCTTAAGATTTTCGAAACGATCTTGAACTCTCATTTTCTCCGTCACCTTGAATGCCATTCTCTTTTCTCAGATCACCAGTATGGCTTTTGCCAGGCAAGATCTACTGTAGTTCTGCTCTCCTATTGCACCCATCTTTGGTCATCCTCTCTTAGGGATTATGGGGAAACTTTCGTCGTGGCCCTCGACATCTCCAAAGCATTTGACAGGGTATGGCACAAGTCTTTTTTTGCTTTCTAAACTTCCCTCTTATGGTTTCTCTCCCCCACTCTGTTTTCTAATCTCTAGCTCCCTTGAGAACCGATCCATGGCAGTTGTTGTCTAGGGATCGATCTCTCGCTCTTTCTCTACCAATAGTGGTGTCCCACAGGGTTCTGTTCTTTTATCTACTCTCTTCCTTATTTTTATCAATGATTTACTTCACACTACAACTAATTCTATCCATTCTTACGCTGATGATTCTACTCTTCACTCTTCACATTTTTCCCTTCCCCCTAATATTCAAACTAGATCTGTTTCTAGAGCTGATATCATAACATCTATCAATGTGGATCTGTGCAGCATCTCTGAATGGGGAGGTAGAAGCTTGGTTAAATTTAATAGTAATAAAACTCAGTATTTGCCAATTACACTTTCTAAATTAGATGATCTCCCACCAATTACATTTCAGGATGCAATCGTTCTGTCAAATTTTAAAGTAGATATGCTAGGCCTCACCATTTCCTCTAATATGTCATGGAAGCCACACATCCTCAACATTGCTAAAGCTGCAATGCTGTACAGATGCCGTAACTACTTTACTCCTGAGCAGTTGCTTCAAGTATATAAGGGATTCATTCGTCCTAACTTGGAGTACTGCTCTCATATCTGGGGTGACATTTCGTCTTATTAACTCTCCTCCTTTAGTTGATAATAATCTTTCTTCCCTTTCTCTTTGCCACAATGTTGCTTCACACTCTCTCTTTTACAGGTACTTAACGGGCAATGTTCGGTGGATTTGGCATCCTGTGTACCCAGTGCCGGATTTAGACCTGTGGAGGCCCATGGGCAGCCTCTTTGTGGAGGCCCCCTCATTATATCTACCCAAGAGGGTGGGGTGGCGAGTGAAGCGAGCCTAAACATCTGGGAGTTCTGGGGGGCGCAGTAAGCCCCCCGGGAAAATTTTGAAATTTGAACACTTCTTTGGAGAATTTTGAAGCCATATGCAGTTATATTGAGGAAATTAGAACATTTAGAAATTTTTAATTAACTGTATATTTATTGATAGTGTACAAATTCCCAACACACACACACACAAAAGTGAGACATGACTGGAGTCATTCATGTGGTTTCAAGTCGACCAGCCCTGATATGTCAAAAATTTTCAAGAGACTTCACAGAAAAGAATATATTATTAGTTATTACAGAGAGATGATTCTTTGCATTATTCATGAATTTCAAGGAGTAGCTAGCCTGATTTCTATCTCGCTTCTTGCTGAACATAGTTTTATGTGATGGAATAGATAAACATGAATTTTAAAGAATGAAAATAAAAATAATCCAAATGAATAAACAAATAAATAAAATATTGTAATATGTGGAGGCCCCCGGATTGTGGAGGCCCCTGGGCAGCTGCCCACTTTGTCCACTCCTGAATGCGGCCCTGTGTGTACCGCCGGCAAGGCCGTGGGCTCGTAACACAAGTCTTGCCCGCGGTGCCCACCGTTTCTCTGTGGATGTTAGTCACACTATAATAACCCGTTATAGTACATCCTTCTTTCCTCACACTGTGGAATGCTCTGCCTTCTTCTGTGTTTCCATACTCATACAATCTGTCTCACTTCAAAAAGCTGGTTTTCCGCCATCTTCGCAGTGTAGATTAATATAATATTTTTCTTTTCTATTTTTAATTTCTTTTTACTCTTATGTTTTCACCCCCAGGCCTCGTTGTGGGTCGATGACCTGTGCCCCGGTGGGCCATTCTCCTTTGGTTGATAACTGATGGAGGAAATACGTTATGAATGACCATAAGTTATGCTTAGAGTTACTTTTGTTGATTAAAATAAGACCAAGAAAATGGTTTAAAATAATTTGTTGTTTACAGCACAGTATTATTTTATTTTTCAGTTACGTGAGATATTTATTGAGATCCGCTACACCTTGGGATCCAACCTGACCAATGGCCAAGGGTATCCTTTAGAAATTAAGGCTCAACTGACTGCCAAGGTAGGCCTAATATTAATAATTATTCAGTAAGTTTGTTGTACAGATTTACAATAGGATACACATACTGTATATATAAACTGTGCAGGTATCGGTGATATCTCCGTTAGCCGGAACAATTGATGCAGAGCTCTTATGGGGATGAAAGTCTTCTGGCTGACGAAACGACTCTCTCGAACCACAAGACCCTTAATCCAGCCCTCTGGACTTAATTAGCTCCTGGCCCACAAGACCCTTAATCCAGCCCTCTGCCCTAGGACTAACTCTTGTCTTTTCTTCATCTGGAGAATTAATTGTAGTTAATATTCGGTAATAAGTAAAACAAATGTTAGGATAAATAATTTGTTTATATAAATGTTACATGTCTCAGCTGACTCCCATAGTAACCTTTGCTTGGCACTCACACAAAGTCACTACTCCTGATCAGCATTACTCTCTGCCTTAACACAGAAGCTTAAAGACAAATTATTTAAGACAAGACAGTGAGGTTAATATTAAGTGTAGCAGATAGACCAAAGCAACTGAGTCTGACTCACTCTTATAGGATATTCAACAGACTGTGGCCAGACTATTCAACACCAACATGAACCGACAGGTCACTAGAGAGAGGGAACATATTCTTGTGGTATACAGTACTGTACTGTACCTGGTGTTGGCAGTCAAGCAAAAAACACTTTCTTCTTCACAGTTATAAAAGACTGAAACAAGTTAACAAACTACATCAAAACCAGTAATAGTGTAAAACAATTAATAACAGATGAAGCTGTTTCTGTATTAACCACAAAATATTGTATTGTTGAAGTGATCTGCCAACCTCAGTTAGTCCAAGTACAATGTAATGACTGTTGAATTTACCAGAAAACTTTCACTATTTCTCCTGTAGACATACTATTACTGATTAGAGACCTGGCCTAAACCAAGGACCCCACTGTAAATAAGTATCTGATGGCTTTACCAAGTAGTAAGTCTGTGAATCAATCTATTTATCATTAAATCTATATAACTATTTATATCATCTAACCTTACAGAAGTGAAGAACAAGGGACAGGCTGATGACAGGAGGCTACTTCACCTCCACCAGATGACTGAGGCTGCATCATCACCTCCAGATGACTGAGGCTGCATCACCACCACCAGATGACTGAGGCTGCATCACCACCACCAGATGACTGAGGCTGCATCATCACCTCCAGATGACTGAGGCTGCATCACCACCACCAGATGACTGAGGCTGCATCCACCAGATGACTGAGGCTGCATCACCTCCACCAGATGACTGAGGCTGCATCACCACCTCCAGATGACTGAGGCTGCATCACCACCACACCAGATGACTGAGGCTGCATCACCACCACCAGATGACTGAGGCTGCATCACCTCCACCAGATGACTGAGGCTGCATCACCACCACCAGATGACTGGGCAGCATCACCACCACCACCAGATGACTGAGGCTGCATCACCACCACCAGATGACTGAGGCTGCATCACCACTCACCAGATGACTGAGGCCACCACCTCCACCAGATGACTGAGGCTGCATCACCTCCACCAGATGACTGAGGCCGCATCACCACCACCAGATGATTGGGCTGCATCACCACCACCAGATGACTGAGGCTGCATCACCACCACCAGATGACTGAGGCTGCATCACCACCACCAGATGACTGAGGCTGCATCACCACCACCAGATGACTGAGGCTGCATCACCACCACCAGATGACTGGAGGCTGCATCACCACCACCAGATGATCATTGAGGCTGCATCACCACCACCAGATGACTGAGGCTGCATCACCACCACCAGATGACGAGGCTGCATCACCTCCACCAGATGACTGAGGCTGCATCACCACCACCAGATGACTGAGGGCTGCATCACCACCACCAGATGACTGAGGCTGCATCACCACCACCAGATGACTGAGGCTGCATCACCACCTCCAGACAAGTATTTGTATATATTAAAATTTCAGTGAATATGTAAACAAAATTACTGACTCTTCTTACCACATATTGTTATTACTAGGAGAACATTGTCAGATAAACACACAGTCGACCACATTCTTATACAGTACAATCACCTGAAGATCAGCCCCCAACTTAAGTCATGCACAGATCAGCCCCCAACTTAAGTCATGTACAGATCAGACCCCAACTTAAGTCATGTACAGATCAGACCCCAACTTAAGTCATGTAAAGATCAGACCCCAACTTAAGTCATGTACAGATCAGACCCCAACTTAAGTCATGTACAGATCAGCCCCCAACTTAAGTCATGTAAAGATCAGACCCCAACTTAAGTCATGTACAGATCAGACCCCAACTTAAGTCATGTACAGATCAGCCCCCAACTTAAGTCATGTAAAGATCAGCCCCCACCTTAAGTCATGTACAGATCAGCCAATTCATGTACAGATCAGCCCCCAACTTATATCACCTGAAGATTAATCACCAAACCTAACCCTCTGTACACACTCTTATCTATAGATGTAAACTGGTCTCTAAGAATATCCCAAAACTGTCATTAGGTATTTTTCTGTTTTTGTTGAATAGATAGAGTAAATATGTTCCCGGCACAGAGAAATGTGAAGAAAATGGCTGGTTACTGGTATTTGGTGGTGTGGTGGCAGTGTGGTAGCGGTGGTGGTGGGAGTGGCAGTGTGGTAGCGGTGGTGGTGGTTGAGTGGTAGTGGTGGGGGTGGCAGTGTGGTCGTGGTGGTGGTAGGGTGGGTGGGGTGGAAGTGGCAGTGTGGGGTTATGTGATATTTGGTTCACACTCAGGATGGGATGGAGAAAGGAAACTCACAATGTGCTCTCTGTATACATGTTATATTGGATGTACAATGCAGCTTGGTGCTGGGAAGGCAGCGTGGTTACAAGCGTGATGTAGAGAGAGCTGGTTGGTGAGGGTGCTCAGAGGAGGACCAGCTTGTGGGTCGCCATGCTCGCCGGCGGGAGCGAGGACCGCCAGGCAGGCGGAGGAGGAGCGAGGACCGCCAGGCAGGGGCGGAGGAGGAGGTGTTGCTTGCTGGTGGCTGTGGGTAGAAAGAGCGGTCACCACGAGGTGTGGGTCGCCATGGTCTTCGGCTGGAGCGAGGGCCGCCAGGCAGGAGTAGAGGAGGAGGTGTTGCTTGCTGGTGGCTGTGGGTAGAAAGAGAGGTAGGTCACTATGAGGTCAGGTCTTATATAGCGGAGGTAGGCGTGGCTTAACAGTTGACCTCCGTCATGTAAGGCGGCGTTGGTTGACCTAGACCACGAGGCATACACTGGGGAATTCGCGGGGTCGACTACTCAGCGACAAGCGTTTGTAGGGGAGGAATCCACTACAGCAGTATGGTAGTGGTGGCAATGTGGTAGTGATGGTGGGGGTGTGGTAGGGTGGATGGTGTAGTAGTGATGGTGGGGGTGGGTGGTGGCTGTGTGGTGGTGTAACAAAATCTCAGTAAATGGCTGGTAAGAGACAGAGTCCTAGCGTATTACCTGTACATACTAAGACAACTGTAAACTTGTATAACGTTATTAATAAATATCTACCTAACTACACTACCTACAAGTGCTATACTTATATTTACTGTACATATACACAACTACTTTACCCAGTTAGTCACACATTTAAACTGAGGACCACAACACATATCTTCTTGTGTATTATGTACTGTATATTAAACTTGTATCTGAACTAATAGGTCTATTGTATTATGTAGTGTATAATAAACTTGTATATAAACTCGTAATAGGTCTATTGTATTATGTAGTGTATAATAAACTTGTATATAAACTCGTAATAGGTCTATTGTATTATGTAGTGGTCTATATTATGTAGTGTATACTTGTATATAAACTCGTAATAGGTCTATTGTATTATGTAGTATATAATAAACTTGTATATAAACTCGTAATAGGTCTATTGTATTATGTAGTGTATAATAAACTTGTATATAAACTCGTAATAGGTCTATTGTATTATGTAGTGTATAATAAACTTGTATATAAACTCGTAATAGGTCTATTGTATTATGTAGTGTATAATAAACTTGTATATAAACTCGTAATAGGTCTATTGTATTATGTAGTGTATAATAAACTTGTATATAAACTCGTAATAGGTCTATTGTATTATGTAGTATATAATAAACTTGTATATAAACTCGTAATAGGTCTATTGTATTATGTAGTGTATAATAAACTTGTATATAAACTCGTAATAGGTCTATTGTATTATGTAGTATATAATAAACTTGTATATAAACTCGTAATAGGTCTATTGTATTATGTAGTATATAATAAACTTGTATATAAACTCGTAATAGGTCTATTGTATTATGTAGTATATAATAAACTTGTATATAAACTCGTAATAGGTCTATTGTATTATGTAGTATATAATAAACTTGTATATAAACTCGTAATAGGTCTATTGTATTATGTAGTGTATAATAAACTTGTATCTGTAGTTGATACCCTGATGTGTAGGCTACTTTACTGTACGGTATTGGACTACAAATATTGTTTCTCTTGTTCCAAGTATAATGTATTAATAAAGCCTCTAAGTGCTCAACTGTAGTATCCATAATGTATTTTTATTGTACATGTGATTAATTGACAATACAAATGACTAAATCCGTCTAAATTGTGTATTTTTAAACCTTGGTGGGACGTGACAGCAGAAAGTATTGATGTTGTTGAATACTAGATTATAATAATGATATTGTTAATAATAATAGGATCGTTTTGAATATTGTAAGACTACTAAAAGGTGGATACTGTCCCCTTGAATATAGTGTATGTAAAGACAACATGTACAATATAGTGTATGTAAAGACAACATGTACAATATAGTGTATGTAAAGACAACATGTACAATATAGTGTATGTAAAGACAAGATTATGTTTTATTTTATCGTGTTGACCATTGATCGGCTCGTTGGCCGCCCGGGTGATGGGTGAGGTGTGTGTGACACACTGTTGACAAGTACTGGTCATGTACGGGCTCGTGAACGTGGTCAAGTGTGGTCTTGACAGAGGTGACACTCGGTGCCGTCACAAGACTCTGTGGTAGACTGTTCCAAGAGTTGACAACTGTGACGGTGAAAAAGTTTGCCTTGAGAGTTTTGTGGGAGGGAGATGTGGTAAGTTGACTACTGGCCACACTGTACACTGGGTCCTTGTACTGCACCCTGAGAGGTAATGTTCTCTTCTCTCTATATGACGAAGCAACGCAACTACTGGAATTGTGTTGTGGACAGTGAAGGACAGACCAAGACTATGAATATATCATGAAGTTTAATAAAAACTGAAAACCTGTATTCACTAATGAAATATAATAGTTACTGGTGCTCAGTTTTCTATGATGAAATATAATAGTTAGTCCTCATCCGACTTCTGTGACGAAATATAAGAGTTAATTCCCAAAATGAATGAATTAATCAGTTTTGTGTGAACGTTTATTCTTTCTGATAATGCTATTAATTAGTAAATATAAAATAGATTATGATATTAAAGACTTATTTGATTATTCCCGTAATTAATGAAGTAATTACATAAATTCATGTAACTCGTCCAAATTGATGGCATGTAAAAGTACTTCAGAAAAGTAGGCTCCAGGGGCTCCTATTTTGATTCTATCCCCGGAGCGTCCTTTTTCTTTTCTACTTTATTTTCGTTTCATTATTCCCTAAAAGTGACTTAAACTTGAATCTGGATGAGAAATATAATGTCTTAATGTACACGTGAACTGCCTCAGTCCCTCACCTCAGAGTCATAAAGCAAAATGAATCATCAGACAATTTAAACATTTGTTCACCTTCACCGACCACCGAGGCCCAGTGGCCAGAGTGGCCTCCCACGGCTGGTGGCCAGAGTGGCCTCCCACGGCTGGTGGCCAGAGTGGCCTCCCGCGGCTGGTGGGCCGAGTGGCCTCCCACGGCTGGTGGCCAGAGTGGCCTCCCGCGGCTGGTGGGCCGAGTTCAGTCCCCGGCACCGCTTCCTTGTTCTTTTTCTTTTTTAATCTTCTTTATTTCGCTTTATTATTGCCTAAAAGTGACTTATAACTTAAATTGGATGAGAAATATGATGTTTTAATGTATGTTAACGCATACCCGTGTTTCGGAGCTTCAATTGCTTCAATGAAGCATC